GCACAAAATCGCGAGATGCCCGCCTCTTTTGCCGCGTGGCCAGATGAAGGAGGCATGCAGTCTGAACAGGTTCACGCACTTGCCGCTTCGGAAATCTCGCTTCACCACTTTGCCGCGCCGCCTTCGGTGTGAATGAGGCTTTATTCAGACAGTGTATACCCATTTTCGGGGGCAAGGCTGAGTGTTATTGCTGTATTCCTAGTTTTCAGGGCGAAGCCCCTTAAAATGAGGGTCTGTCCATCCCTTATATGTACCGCATTTACTCGCGTAATCCTCGCACTCTCATAATTCTCGCACCCCCCACATCGCCCAACGAAAATCCGCTTTCTTTTTTTTTCCTCGAGTAATTATCGCACCCCCGAAAACTGCTGCAATAATGTCGTCTGCACTTTCTAGCCACTGATGACGATGGCGCACACCATCTGGCACCATCTCTTAAGCATCAAGCATACTATTGCACAGAAATCTAATCCAAGCCAAGCCGAAGTGCCCAGTACGCGTTGCGGCGTGTTTTGTATGTTGTGTCGGCAATCTTGTCACGTTATGAGGCGATATTGAAGCTGTACGGCTGCTTTCAAGTTGCAAGTGATAGATCATGCACTAAACAACGGCAACAGGGCCGCCGGTAGGTCCTTCGGAGTCCACGAGTTTTGTGTTCGCTACTAGTGACAGCAGCTGAAAGCCACCAAGATGCGTTGGGCCTGCCGTGTGCCTAAAACTGGAATTGATGTCACTATATTCTCCAGAAGGAAACTGAGGACGATTCTGTTAAATAGCCATCAGCCCAATGCTGATGTCCCTCGCTTACCTTTTGAGAGCCCCTGTTGAGCGACGAACGCTATTGCTACGCCCGCAAGCTTTGCGTATGGTATTATAATTCTCGACTATTTGCTTCCACTTTTTGTGTGTCAAATAAATCTTGTCTTGTGTTGAACCTCTGCTTTTATTCTTGAGGTAAACTTTAATTAGTAATTCTTAAAGCTTGCTTTTGCTGGTGTGAGAATCCCAATTTGCGGCCACTTCGTTTTCTTTTTCGCTCTGTATGTTTTCGTAGAAAGTTTTCCCCGCGTAATTCTCGCATCCCTAACTTTTCTTCAGTTTTCCGGCAAAAAAAGTGCGAGGATTATGCGAGTAAATACGTTATGTATATATGTATGTATGTACGTGACCGTCTATAGTTCCACCTTTGCCAGCTGCCCACTACTTCGTCCTTGCAAACATCCCACTACACCCCATCACCGATCTACCACTTCACCGACCATGAAGCAAACACTGTGGAGAAGTAGTCAATATAAAATGCAAGATGGTCGTGTACTTGTATCCAGGTGCGCGTTAAAGAACCATAGATTGTCTCACAATGTCCATTTCTTGTTTGTATGTGACCACCTATAGTTCCACCTTCGCAAACTGCTCACTGTTTTGACCTTGCAAACAACCCACTATGCCCCATCACTGATCCACCACTTCACCGACCTTGAAGCAAATACTGTTGAGAAGTAGGCTATATGAAATGCAAGATGTATAGTGAAATCTTGTATAACGAACTTCAGGGGCCACGGCAACTAGTTCTCTATTTCGAAAGGTTGTTATAGTGAAAGCCCAAAAATTAACCATAAGCACTTATTTTCCACCAACCAAAACTATTTACCTTTACAATGGTGGGTCCTTGGAAATCTTTTTTCACAATAAAAAACAAATGCGCAAGTGAATACTCAAAAAATGCGCATTTACTTAAAAGAAGTCTGTGATTTTCTTTTTTTTTTTACGCATGCAGCATAAACATTGCAGCGCGAAGGCCTCCAGCTAATCCACATTCCTGTGGTGCGATTTGGTTCTTTGGTCACAACAGCCTGCGTTTTGCTTTCCAGTTGCCGAAGAATATCCACTTTCTCACTTAGTGAAAACTGCTTCCGTTTCTTCGTCGCAAGCAGAGATGAACTCATTTGTTCTTGCACCGCAGCGCGAACGCCGACTTGCTTTGCGGACGCGGTAAGTAATCACCAAAAAGAGATGAACACGACTGACAAACCAAGCCATGGAGCACATGTAGAACAGTAGAAGTGGTAGAACTGGTAGAAGTGACAAAGATAAGAAAAACCCGCAGCGTCCTGGCTGTCATCGCCTCTTCCAAAGAAGAAGAAAAGTCCTGAAAAAGAAAATCTGCGCGTTTCGTTTTCTGCTCCCTCGCTGTCTCGAGTTTTCCGCACCCATGCTTCCTGCTCCGCAACACCCATTCTGCCTCGCCGAACTTGCCCTCCCATGTTGCCCTCGCCCCTCGCCTCGGCGCTTTTAAACCTGCAGCATCGGCGTTGCAACAGAAGGAAAGAAAAGAAAGTCGCCCTTTCGTTTTTTTTTTAAGATAGTCTGATTCATTAATAGCGTCCCCTTCTATCACATCTCTATCTGAGTCCGCCATCTTCCAGAGAGTGCCTGAACGCAAGTGCATTCAGTGAAAAAAAATTTGGGGGGGGGGGGGGGGGCAAGCGATTGTCAATTAAAAAACAATTATCGCACATATCTGAGGAACCATAACAACACGTATATATTCTGTATGTGCGTCTTTTACTAGAAAAGGCATACATAAGTTATTCTAAGGATCGTAGCGTTTATCACGCGGTGCTGACCATGCAAAGCTTGCACGAAAAGGGAAGTGTTTCCAACGCAAAGGTTAGGTGGCACCTACCCTTTGCCTTGCATCCTACACCTCTGAAACGGGTGTGCACGCCTGTCTCTGAGCCATGCGTTTTGTTTCCCAAGATAACTGCCAGATAGCGCTCAAGTGTCACGTGTGACGTCACTTGGTGTGCTCGTTCACCTCCACTGCACGCTCAAGGCACTCTTATCGCAGTGCCTCCAAAATACCAATCACCGATTTTCTTGCGCAGAACATCAAATAAACGTTTTGTTCAATCTCTCCAGATGCAAGACTATTCAGACATTTGCAGATTAACAAGCAGATACGGGGCCAATTTTTTTCTCTCCGCACCGTCGCGCATCTTCCGAGAAGCAAGGCTTTGTCATCCGCTTGGATATCGCTCCGGTGGTGGTTGCGACAGATTTTAGAACATGAGTTTATAGGACTGAGGCTTCATTAGTATTATGCAGAACTAAATTAAGGCTCATTATTCTTAAAAGTTCGGTATTCTGAAATACGTAGTAGTGAAATAATTTTGCATTGAAACTATTAGCAGTAGGCACTAGATTTTTTAAATGTTCGTTAATCTGACAAAGTTCCTCATTGTGGGGTCCGTTGAGCCGAGATTTCACTGTACTTGTATTCACGTGCGCATCGAAGAACCATAAATCGCCTTACAGTGTCCATTTCTTGTTTGTACGTGACCACCTATAGTTCCACCTTTGCAAACCACTACTTCGTCCTTGCAAACATCCCACAATGTCCCATCACGGATCTACAACTTCACCGACCTTAAAGCTGTTATAATGAAGGAGGAATGGAAGCGACTTATAGCTACCACTTACGAATTGTAGAATTTCTTGTATAAATATATACAGTATTTGTATATTCAGTCGAACCTCGATATATCGAACGGCGCGGCGATCGCGAAATAGTTCGATATATCCAGAATTCGATATTTAAAAAATCACGAAAAAAAATGCATCAACAGCTTGCTGAAAACAACCAACGAACCGTTCAAGCGTGGTGCAGTAACTACTCACTTGAAGATTCAAACATAGTATTTATTGTGTTGGTTTAAAATATTGAAAAAGAGTAGCCTGCTTTTTGTTGGCCATGGCGTGTTTGATGACTGTGTCCTCAATATAGTCCAGGCGATCCATAAGTGATAGGCCGGTGCCTTCAATCGCGCCGCATTGGCGGCGCACAAGGGCCAAGGCAGCTATGACCTCAGCTGATGTCGGGAGCGGGGCACCATCAGCGCTTGCGGAATCCACCTCGGCAGGTCTTCATTTGGCTGCTCAGCAGTAGCTTCGGCGACAATCTCCACATCCGTGAGCTCCGCCGTTCGGAGTTAGGCCTGTCGCGCACCACAGCGCGCGACAGGCCCAACTCCGAACGCACGAACACTGCGAGCACAACGACCGATGCCTGCCGATGCTACGGGGGAGGAGCTTGCAACAAGTGCGCAGTTGCAAGCTCCTCCCCCGTAACAAGTGCAACAAGTGCGTTGACACCATAGAGACTGCAACGACTGCAAGGTGCAAGGCTGCGGCGTGAGTCCGGGTGTAAAGCGCGCACATGGCGCGCCCATGCCGGCTCGCCTGACTGCTTTCCCTTTCCCGGCGGCAGCGCGGGCCGTGTCCGAGACAGTCGTTTGCGTCCTTTCCCTCCTATACTTTCCTCCTTAATCTTTACCTCTCACTCCCGCTTCTCCCGCGCGAAGCCGTGTCGGTGCCTTCGTATTGAAAGACGATAACAGCTCCGCTCTTTTCTCTTCTCTTTCCTCATTTAATGAAGAATTTCTACCGCAAGGCTGCGGCGCGCGTATGCCGCTACATTAAAGTGGCGCTCTCGGCGCCATCGATGTGTGCAGCATTCGTAAACGCCCTTTCCTCTACCGCTACTTTCGAGAGTTGCGGGAAAGCTCGCCGGCTGTCAATGGAGCGTGGGCGGTTTAAGGTGGCTGAGTTCGATATATCCATTATATGTCAAACTTTGTTCGAAATAAAAAATCAATAATGCATTAGATTTCGCGCGTGATATAGGAACCGTTCGATATAGGCAATAATTCGATATATCCGTGTTCGATATATTGAGGTTTGACTGTATAACCCTCCAGCACTTTGCGCCACTCATCATCATTCACTTCGTGGATATGCTGTGATTTTTTTCGATTATACGACAGCCGGATTATAAAACGGTTTTGCGTGGTTCCCTGAAAGTTGTATAATCGGGGTTCCTCTCTAATTCAATCAAATGCTGTTGATGGACAACGTCATCATTGGCCTGACTTCCTTTTTTGTTTTCTTTCGTTGACATCCCTGTCAATTCGGCAAAATCCGATGTGGCATCCTGCACTCAGACCTCGGCGATGATGCGGGTGAGGACAACGAAATGGAAGAGCCGCTGGCCGAGGAAGAAGACGTGCAGCCGTGCTCGGCTGTCGAGGCGGAGGAAGAACTCCAGCCGGCCACCAATCCTTCCTCAGCTGTGGAGGTACCACCCTCTCTGCTGGTAGCACCCGTACTGCTGCAGCAGCCGCAACACCGGCCCTCCCTGCTGCCCCGCGTTCGCAATGAACGTCTGCCATCGGTGCGTCTGTCATCTTTGCCACCCTAGGAAATGTCTTGCTATCATTCATGCATGGCGTCATTTGAAACTTGCCATTTTCTTTTCACATAAAAGCAGTGTGGAAAGGCTGATGAGGTGCAGTGCTTCCCTTGTTTCATTGATGCTCTGTCTTTTTATGTAAGCACAGAAGACCGTCATTAATGTGGAACCTGAAGGGATAAAAGAATGTGTTTTGTTTACTGAGAGATGAACAAGAGTGGAGAATTCAAGCGTGAAACCAATTGTGTTAGTGGCAGTTGTTCCATTTGAGCGCCAGTTGAGTTTAACAGCTTTTTATTTACTGATAGTATACTGTATTTCGTGCCAAGTCGCCCGAGTAGTCACTTGAGCTATGTTTGTTATTTTCGTTTATCTATTAGGTGTGTGCAAATATTTTTGTAATAGTACCAGCAGTCTAATTCGGCTCACCAAAATCTTACTATGCAGAGTACAGGTGAGCACGCTTATTACGAAATTGAGCGTGATGCGGCATTCGTTCGCTGTATCCCGAGGTTCGTAGTAAATGAAGCACAGCTTTTAAAAAAAGTTGTCAGTGAAAACACAAACTTTTTTTGCCCAGAAAAGTCCGTGGTGCACGTATTTGGAAGGGCAAAAAGGATAAGGGCGGTCTCGAGTTTATTTCAGGCGGCAGCGTGCTCGTTTGCTGAGGCCCGTGGCATAAGCTGCATGTGACACTGGCTCCAAAGTTTTGTTGTTCCCGCAGTCTGATTCCTCCAAATCCCTCTTGCCACTGTGGGGTCTCGAAATGGAGAACGAGCGCCACGCCACACTCTTGGAGTGAAATGACACTGTAGACATGGTCGGAACAAACCCAAACACAATAACATACATTTATTTAACTAATTTTAGAATGACAATATTGTCCGCCGATTTATACATCAATCGTTATCAACATGCTGAGACATCCTTGCACAATATTACCATACACTCCATGACAAACACAATAACACGACAAACGCACAATAACATGACAAACACAAGAACACACCCAAAGCGGCGGCGCCAACGCTTGACTTACCACGAGGCAACGCTTGACTTACCACGAGGCCCCCGACACGCAGCCCGCGGTGCAACGCACCGAGGACCCATGCTAGAGACAACCGTTCGCGGCAACCGCCAAGCGCAGAAGAGAGCAGCTTATTTCTCGCTCGCCGCTACCAAGGCTTGTCACCGCCGCCGCTATACCATGATGATGATGATAGTGGTGATCACCACTCGTGTACACACCAACTACCACCCGGCAGTTGTAACACGAAATGCAACTTTTGGGCAAGATACGTGCGCCACACGGTGCAGACAACTTACAGGGGAGTGTCTGTACCCCCACATCACGTACTTCATTCACAATACCCTAATCCGTGCACGATTCCGCAGTGTCTGCATCATCACCGGCCATAATTAAACTATCGCAACAGATGTCCCACCTGCTCTCCCAGGTCGGAGTTGATGACGCGCTGCCACAAATCGCAGCCGGAGTGATCCTATTCGGAAGCTTCAAGCTCAGCATCGAGCCTGGTGTCGACGAAGTCAGCCTCGCGAAAACAGTTTCGCGTGCATGTAGCCGTCACCGTCGCCCATGAAATATTCACCATTTTCAGAGCTGTATACGGGACCCACGAAGCTGCAAGTTGGCTGCCAGGTGGTCAACAGCTATGAGCAAGCGCTCCGCAATGCGGCACCTAACGCGCGGATTACGCTCATGTCATGCGGTCACACTTTCGGCGCTTTGTTGAGCGGCAGGAAAAAGCGTGCAGTCCTCCCCTCTGCCATCGTCAACACACACGAACACCAAGAGTGTTGTTGTTGTTTCTTCGTTTGGTGCCAAAAGTGAGGGGGAAAATAATTCGGCACACTGATTTTACTTATGGTGTCGAAATGTGATTATGCTTGTCTCTAAAGACAAATTCATCACAGCTACATATTTTTAAAGAAGGCTGTAACCGCACCCCCCCACACCCCTTTTCCACTCGGGGTTTTACGAATTTCTCTGTTGCCAGGTTGGCAGGTATGCATTTGAGAGAGAGCAAACATTCCGCCTCAGCCTTTACTTTTCTTCTTTTCCTTCTTCGCTAGCAGCGTTGAGGTGACGGAGGTGCCGCTCTAGGATTAGGTGTGGTGCTGAGAGCATTTTCAGAGCGTGGTATGTTCGAATGAACCGCCGCAAGTGCTTGCCCGTTCGTATTACAGGGCGTTTTTGCCCATTGGAATTGCGGAGTCTCACAGTGGTGAGCGCACCACCACGCCCTTGGAGTGCGCGGACACAGGAGACATGGTCAGAACAAACAAAAGAACACGTACATTTATTTAACTACTTTTACAGCGAAAGATGTTATGAGATCACTTTTCGGGTCACGCGCAGTTTTTGTTGCGCCGCCGATGTCCATAACCACATCGCGGGAAATTAGAAAAAAATACCTTGCGCCAAACACACAGTGGGGCTTAAAGCCGGGTCCGCTGCGTGCCAGCCCAATATTCTACCACTCAGTTACGCCAGTACTTATAACTTGTTGTCACACTTGCCTTAGGCAGGCATGACCTAGCACCAATGGCATAGTGGGGCTCGAACTCGGGTCCGCTGGGTGCCATCATAGTACTACTCTACCCGACGATAGTTATAGCACGAGAACAAAACGACGACACAGAGACGAGAAGGACATGAAAGACACGTGTCGTGTCCTTCTTGTCTCTGTGTCGTCGTTTTGTTCTCGCGCTATAACTATCGTCATGCCATACCAACTAGCCCAAGCTGCCACACTTCTAAACTACTCTACCACTGAGCTACACCGGTGCTTGTGACTTCTTGTCAAACTTGCCTTAGGCAGGCTTGATGCCTGGAAAGCAATCGCGCTAATACTAGGCTTGTGCGAATATTCGAATGCTTTGAATATTCAAACGAATAGTTGAGTATTCGAATTCGCTTCGATTCAAAATTAAATTATCGAATATTTTCGAAGTATTCGCAATGAATGAATAGGTGTGATTTAACCAGCCTATTATCGCCTGTAAAGGTTGTTTCATTGCAATAAAGGAGTGCTAAGCCGAGAAAGCACATATTCAGGAAAAATTTGCCTTGTCGCGAAGCCCCTCAATCAAATTTAAAGGGGCCCATCAACACTTACTGAACTTGGTCAGAAAACGCTGCCGATCGGTAGTCAAGGCTACCGAGAACACGCGAGGCAATACAGCGCAGCACGTGGCCTGTAATTCACAATAAATTTTCAAATCTAAAAATTGCTTTCTTTCCTCGGCAAATGACACTACAAGCTCAAAAATCACTTGTCACAGCCAAGAAAGAATATAATGCTCAAGTCACAGCCATTGGCTGATTTGAGCATGGCGTGCTCGTCGTTACCGGGACCAGCGCGGGAGGCCACCGCTTGTCCTCGAGTACGTGCGCGAATATTTGCGCGATTAGTACGTGCGTGATTATTTATGCGCGAGTACGTGCGCCGTGTATTTGAAGAAAAAAAAAAGGTGCTCAAGGTCAGGAGGTGCGTGTGACGCATTTCCTTATTTTCTGATGCCGTGCCATTCCTCCCAGCTTAACTTCCAGCTAATTCGTCGCGACAAGAAGAATGCGATTGCAGCATGCGACAAAATTATAGAACTTCGCTCGTACTAGACTGATTCTAGAAACTTTGTGGCGGTAAATTTGTCGGGCAACTAGCATGTTTACTGGCTCCATGGCTACTTTAAAAAGCGTTGCAGTGGCTACTTTAAAAACTGTTGCAGGGCCCCTTTAAAGGAACATTTTACCCTCAAATCAATTCTTCAATTTATTAAGCGTGTTATGACGGCTTATATGCTCCAAGTATAGTAAATTATAAAACGTTAAGTATTTTATAGGTTATCACTCGCATCCTATTGAAACTACTACTGAAGGTTGTGTAGACTTCCTTTGAACAAAAAAAAAAGAAGTATTTGAATAGAGCACCTTTTTCAATTCAAAAGAAATATTGTGCAGGTTAATTAGGTCATCATAAATATTCATTCTTTATATATTTCATGGATATCATTCGAATTCGATTCGAAATTATTCGATCAAAATCACTATTCGCTTCGTTTCTCCAAACTTGGCAGGTATGTTAATGTTCTAGTGGGTACCAAGCAAGTGTGATTGCAGTAGTTACCCAATGAGTGTTTTGAAAGGGCTATGAAAGGCCACTCTTCTAGCTTTCGCTGTGACTTTGCTGCGCCTACTGCGCAGGCCTGGTGTTTTTTGGTCGACAATATCGTCAGCCGAATTACTGTAACATCAATCCTGATCAACACGCTAAAACATCCTTACACAATATTAAACAACACTCAACAACATGACAAACAAGGCAGTGTCGCTAACGCCTGGCTCACCACGTGGGCCTATTACAGACGGCCCGCGGTGCCGTTCTCTGCAGACCCACCGCTGAAGGCAACCGTCCGCGCTACTGCCCCACGCCAACTGTTCGCGCCCAACGCCACCAGCCGAAAAGAGCCTCGCCCAACTCTCTATGCCACCACCAAAGCTTGCGTGCCGCCAGGGGTCACCACCGGTGCTACCGCTCTAACAAACATGATGATGATAGTGTTTGCAAACGCTTGCAAACAAAACGCCACCTACCACTCAATAGTAGTGACCCCGAAATACGGCTTCTGTGCAAGACACGTGCAAACAACTTTACAGGGGGTATCAGCACCCCCACAGAATACACATAGTTTTGACGGGACCACAGCGTCAGTTCTAATTAACTGGAAGTTTGAATCAAGCGTGTTCCAATTAATGAAATTTGACATTAGTAAATTACACTTTCATAATTCCAAAATCATCATGCTTGCCACGACAACTCTCTCGGTAAGCAAAAAAAAATGTGCAAGAACAAAATTCGGGTAGCTTCACATAGTTGCATTAATGCATCTATTGCCATGACTTTATAAATTTTGGTTCCCGCCTGCGGCGGCTGCATTTTTCCGATGGAGGCGGAAATGTTGTAGGCCCGTGTGCTCAGATTTGGGCGCACGTTTTATAAAGAACCCCAGGTGGTCGAAATTTCCGGAGCCCTCCACTACGGCGTCTCTCATAATCATATGGTGGTTTTGGGTCGTTAAACCCCACATATCAATCATCATTTATAAATTTTGGCGTTTTTTACTAGGTCCTACATAGCTCTTAAGTACTGAAAACAAAGTAAACTGACTTCTGAGATAGCTCTAGACTTAACGTACTAAGTCTCAAGAAATCACTTTTATCACAATTCTACCCATTCATGTACTTCTCTCCACCTTGTGGACTTCTTCAGAACTGATGTACCATTGCTTGAGAGAAGCTCCTTTTCTCAATTGCATTGTCTGCATTCTGCAGAGTCAAAGTGCCGCAGGCTTCGAAGAAGGAGACGACAGCATTGTGCCTAGCACACCAACTCTCTTTGTGCCTCGAAGGACAGACGGCTTTGCCGAAGCTGTTGGGTATGTTATTTATTTATTTATTTATTTGTAAATACTGTCAACCCTCGTAGAGGTTAATAACAGAGAGGACATACATAAAGAATGTACAATGTTCATAAAGCTTAATACCTTGACACATGTTATTAATTTACTTACGCCTGAATGTGATCAGTTGGTAGTCCTGTGTCTACATTGCCATGTTTTCTTAGTGCTTTTTTTTTTTACTCTTGGGTATGTTCATGTCATCTAGATATGCATAGAGCTTCAAATAAAAGGGTTCTGCAACTTTTCAGTGTGATCGCAAAACACGGATCAGTTAATGAAGCTCCTAAAGATTTAGGGGCCAATCATATTAGAGCTCAGCACACTGCCTGGAACTTACAATTGATTCTCAAAGTCAGTTAGACAGCTAGAAATTTCTCTCTTTTCTGCTAATGATGCCTTGTGCTAAAATGAGCTTGCCATGTACCCAAAGTCACGGCCAATGAGCGATTTGAACTGTGTATTTGCCAAGGCTGCCACCTGTACACTTGCGGTCATACCGAAAGTAAGCCGAGCGTTGTTAGATAAAAGTGCTCTAAGTTGTGATGCCTGCATCTCCCCCCCCCCCCCCTGCTGAGCTTGCAGTTGGGGCAAGAGAAGACAGAAAGCAATCACAGCGTGTGACAAGTCCACTCTACTTGGCGGATTCGGGAGGCATTAGGCTCCTTTAATGGGGTTATTTTATGGTTATTTGGACAAGTGTTACAGGGCTCTGTTAAAGGTTGGCAGTGGTAAAGTTTGTTTGAGAAACTTCCCTACATGGTCTCAAGCATTTTTTTTTAATGCAGAAGTGTTTTATGGCTAAGGTTCACCAAGACATCAGTGACATACGGCAAACCCTTATTATAACAATGTCAATGGGACAGCAAGAAATTTTTATATAAGCGGTAATTCGATATAAGTGACTGCCCATAAAAGCATAAAAGCGTAGCGATTATAGTTAAATTAGCCAAGACATCTTCGCAGAACTGGTATTCAGTGAAACAAACTTTTGTTCATGCACAAAAAAGTCAGTCAGCTGGCTTTGTCGAGCGCTTCGGCTGGGCGCGAGAAGTTTCCAGTTTGTTCAGGCAAATTATGAGGTCGTAGTCACCACCCGCGCATTCCACTCTATTTACCAACAGACAGAGGCTTTCCTGCGTTGGTGTCACTGTTGGTATTTCACGAGGCTGTTCGTCTAGCAGCTCATCTTCCTCATCGGAGCCTCCAAGAAAGTCTACTATTTCGGCCGGCTAGTCATGCTTTGCCGCCTTTCCCAGTATCAGCAAAGAGAGCTTTTCCTCCCTTGTCGCGTTAGCCCTGAGCAGCACTTTAACACGTTCTTTACTTTGTTTACATCTTGATTAGGTTCTGCCTGATATAGTGTACGTGCGCTTCTGCAATAGTTTGTAAAAGAATGCCGCCTCATCCAAATTGTGAATATCTCTATCTTCATGTTGCTAAATTAGGGCGCTCAGCCGATGCTTCTTCCATATGTCCATGGTGTCGTCTATGGTCGCGCTTTCATCAACAATTGATTATGCACTACACGTCGTGCAGTCTCTTGAAAGGCTTCAACCAGCCTTTGCTGCACTTAATATCTTGCTTGCTCATTTGGGCGGCTAGGGCTTTGGCTTTTGTGGTCAATGCAGGCCCATTTACAGGAAGGTTTGCACTACTAGCGTTTTCCAGCCATTCAAGAAGCGATACACAGAATTATGGCAACTTTTTCCCCGGTGGTTAAAAATTCAGCTATATTATGCACTAATTGATTCTCATTCACAATACTGCCTACTTGTGTCGGGAACAACAACAAAAAGTAATCTTAGAAAGCTGCATATTCTACAAAAAGGTATTTTGCGAGTTATTGAAAATGTGCCATATAAAACTCACTCTGCTCCTCTTTTTAATGCAAATACCATATTAACGATGCAACACATACTGGAAAAGAAGCTAGGCATTGCAATATTCCAGAAAATAAAGTAATGTCAGGACAGCTTTTATTGACAATTTCTAGGGAAGGGACACACCTACGAAACTAGAAAAACTATATATGATAAAGGTTTCATACAAACTTTGGCATGGAAAAACAATTTTACGCTATAGCAGATTTACGCTATAGCAAATCATCCTACCGTAATAGACTTGGTACAGAAAACGATGCACATCAAATGCTTCAAAAAAGTTAACTTTATACCTCATTTCAATACAAGAATAATTCTGTTTTTTACCTTGCTGCAGTTTATACTGTACATATGCTTAAAAAATCTTTGTTTTATGTGTACATAGAACAATGTATCTATCTATAGAATCCTGCATATGTTTTGCCTAATGATGTATAGTATACTTAATCTTTTGTATGTATTTTTGATTATCTAACTGTCACTGTTGTTTGAGTTATGTGTGTCTAGAGAGGAATGTGACACTCAGTCAGGCACTCGTGCCTTTTTGTCAAACCTCCTAGACAGGACAAATTTACACATTATTTGACTTTGTCTGAAATAAAGTTGAAAGTTGAAGTTGAAATGGTTGCGCTGTCGTTTGGTTGGGAAACTCTTCTCGAAGCTGTCCAGTACGGCATCCTTATTCTTCAGAACAGTTGATAATGTGGATGGCGGTATTCCGAATTGTCTTGCGATTTCAAGACTTCTTCTCGCTTCCTTTTCCACCCCACGTATCACTTCAACTTTCTGCTTGGTGCCATGTTCATTTGACGGCAACTAAAAGCATTCACAATGTGCACACATGTCACGGGTTCAAACAGACTTCGCTCAACATACGCTCACATGCGTCTTCCAACCATGGTGGAACAAACCTATTGGGAATGCCGAGGCTCCATAATGGTCACGTGACACCACCGGCGTAGCAATGGGGAGCAGCCGGCATGTTTCGAGCACCTCCGTACCTAATAGTACCGGAGTAGGGGCGGAAGAGGCGGGTAAAATCGGCACTGCAATGACTCTCCCGTCATCTGCAACAGTCTACACTGGCGCACTTTAGCCTGGCAATGCTAGCACAGAAAAGGCCGCTCAGTATGGCACATTGATGAAAAAAAGCATGTGAGCACTTCGGCGGTGCGAAAGGCCGCTCACGCACCACTCTTAGCGCTACTGTAAATACTAGATCTGCAGCTGGTTACTTCACTTTAAGCGGAGCGAGCTATTGACATGCTTCGAATAATTCGGTCTAAAGGAAACGCATTGCGGTCGGGACTGCTTGACATTTCATTAAAATCGATAATTCAAATAAAGTGACTTTGTTGTAGTCAGGGATTACTGTATTTTTGTCACGGAAATGACATCGAAAAAACATGTCCGATCAAAAAGCAAAGAAAAATGTTCCATTAATGGCAGTTGAACCTATGACGTTTCGATCCGCCACAGCAGAAGCTCGGTATTCTACCCACTGCACCACATGCTCTGTAAGCTTTACAAACACACTTTTTATATCTAATGCTGTCCTTTCACAGTGCTTTTTGTAAAATGAAGTAATGTGTCATCGCCGTGACCTTCATGATTACTTCAGCACGTCATTTCTACTCGTCCATCCCATTCGGCACATTTCCAATAGGAAAAGTGCAATTTTGTTGATGCATTAACACAACTTCACGTGGCAACATAACCCCTAAAGTCGTTTAGCGTCGGCCTCACTCATAGCATTTATCCATACCAAAAATAGCTGTGCGTCATTTAACTGTTACTCGTCATTCTCCCCTTTTGCTTGCCTTGCAAAAGTCACGGACGCCAACAGCATAGACATGACATGCATTTTGTTTCTCACTAGTCGGGGCAATAGCATTCAATACTCTCACATACCACAAGTAGGCGAGTTTAGCCCAAGTTCAGCATCCATTCAGTGACTGCACTCCTGGCTGTCCCACCGCTTTCTATTACCATATTTACTCGCGTAATAATCACACCTCTTTTCTCAAATAATTGGAGAAAAGTTAGGGGTGCATTACGCGGGTAAAGTTGCATGAAAACTTCTTTGCTCTGAGCAAAAAAATGCAGTAATGCAAAAGAAAAGTTAGGTCGCTCAGCTTGTTTGTTGCACTTCACTCATTTTCGGTGGTTGAAGGCACTATCTTCTGGAAGTTGTTTCCACGCCACCCTTGCATGCCATCAAAGTATTTCACAGCTATCTTTTTTCGCAATTATTTAACCACAACAGTAGTATCTGCTGTGATCTCGAGGGACGCCCAGAAGTGTGCGCTATAACGCCACGGTGCATTTTGCCAGCTTCGTGGCTACCTCGCACGACGACAGCGACGACGCCGTTGACATTGTAGCAAGCAACCAACATTGCAGCAAGCTACCACCGAAGCTTCAAATCAAACCGTCGATAACAAGATTAACGACAAAATACGGCAGTCGCCTCACTTGCAACTGAAGCAAGAACAGGGACCATGTTGTGGAAATAATCATTATTTTAACTGGGCGACAAGTGATTTTTTTTTCTGGTTTTTCAGAAACCTGCGAGTCGATGGCGACGAATGACCCTTTGAGACCCTTAGCGACAGCAAATCCTCTCACTGTTGCTCGAAAATTGCGTGCACATGGTTGGGCCTTAATGTTTTGTATTTGCAGGAAGCAACCGTAGATTGGCCCGGGAAATTTCGCGACTTTCACTCGCTGTGTGCTTGTCAGCTGCATTGTTACTACTCTCACACCGTACGTGAACTCCGCCGTGGTGCATAGATATTTAAAAAATAATGAGTATGTGCCGCACCCAGATAGAAATATACTATACAGCGTGTGGCAGCGAGCGAGGGCGAGGGGGGGGGAGCAAGTCAAGGGAGCCGAGGGGGTTGGCATAGTAATAAAAAACAGAAAAGGTCCAATGGGCAAGGAGGCGCCAGATGTCGGTTAGCGGGACTGCATCAGACGAAATGTGGGAGGTGCGTTCGCAAGGAAAAGAAAAATAAGGATTGTGACGACTGAGGTTAGGGGTGCATTTATTATGCGAGTGCGTTGCTTACGCAAGTAAATGCTGCCACGTTCCATTTTAAATTTAGTAAACACTGCCACGCTCCAAAACACTATACAATTCTCAGCGCAAACCGCGCCTGCAGTTTTCGAGAAGCTTCCGGACTGTAGCAGATCATTTCGATAAGATCACGCCTACTCTGCGAACTGTACAGACTATTCTGGAACCTACGCCACTGCCACCGATAACGCTAGAACATTCGACGGCAAGAGTATAAATGCCGATGCGCTTCGCCGCTTGTCAGTTGTTGATCGATGGCCGATGCTCCGTTCGCCGCTATCAGCCCAAGACTGCTACTGTAGTCCGACTTTCCATATTCCCCTAATCTAGAAAATCTATAGGTATTGACTGCCGCTTGTCAGTAGTTGATCGACGGCCGACGTTCCGTTCACTGCTATCTGTGCAAGACTGCTACTGTAATCGCACTTTCTGTTTACCGGGCACAGGTTCGCCAAAATAAACAGTTAAATCCCAACGTAAAGTCTCCTGTCTTCGGCCACGTCACAACCCCGTGACAATACAGTATTCCGTTTTTACGATTAACTACTACAGCTTCCATAATCATCCATGACCACAAGAGTTTGTTAAATCATGAATCATGGCCGTTAGTCATATGTATGAAGATCTAGCACGAAGCGTCAGCATGGGTGCGTTCACGTTAAGTGGTGCTGTAGTTGTTAAATATCAAGAGGCAGTGCAGTTCTTTTGTAACATTGTATAGTAAACATTTAACCAAGCTTCACTTTCATTTTACACTGATTCCTATGACAGAGGAATCAACCTTTTTTGTGAAGCACTCCATACGGTCGCCATGTGTCAAAAATGCAATGGTGGAGTAAAAGCTCGGTATTTCAGAATCGTCATCTGAATTTGTCATTTTGTTGATCAGAATCTATATGTTTCCTCAATCCTCACTGAGATCCCCTTAAGAAATGGCCCATGTAGGAGATATGGAAAAGGCCATCTTTCTAATAGCAACATTACATGGCATTTTATTCAGTGTTCTTCACTGTCACAGTCCTTGCGAGAGACTGAATTTTCCGACTGTGGCCTACTAGCCGAGGTGAGCTTGAGGCGAGCTTGAGGCCACTGATAGAAGAGTCACGCTGATGTGTTTCATCACATCATGAGCCATGTCTGTTGTGTGATAACGGCGGTCAAGTAACTTTTATTGCATATTTATACAAAAGCTTTGTTTCTCACAAGCAAAAAAGAAATAAAGAGGTCTCTAAGCAGCATCCCATTGTTATTTTCGTGCAGCTCTCCTCATGTGCCCCATGGAGGCTTCGTGTTTGGCACTGCATCTGAAGGTTCTTCGGCACCCGAGCCATCCGGTCTGTCACAACTTGCATCTCAGGAAGGTGTGTCACATTAGCACTGTTTCTTGTGTTCAAAGACTTAAGTTCTTTTTATGTTTTGGTCTTTTGAGTTATTTTTTTTTATTCACTTATTGTTCTTTTTGCACTTGTCTTGCTTTCTAACACATGTGGTAAAGTTGAACCAGGATGCATCAAAAGTTAGGTTAGGCTAGGCTAGGCTTGGCACGGCTCATCGAGAGGAGTGCTCTTGGTTCCTTCTTCGGACTGAGCAGCCGCCGCGAGTACAATGGAGCTGTTTTGATACAATGTTGACAGCGCGCTCCGCGTGAGGGCCTCGCGAGCTGTCTGTTCAATGCGCATTTCGCCGCCTACATTTTGTAGCGTAAAGGAGCTGTTCTCATGCTAATTACTTCTTCCGCTTGTAGGAAGCAGTGAGAGTAGTAGGGGCTTGTGCAAGGACAGCCTGGCTATCTCAGCACTTGTGCACCTGGAAGTGAAGAAGCACACACAGTGCTACCAGAGTTCTTACTTTAGGGCTTGAACACCTTATATTCGATGAATACGAAAATGCTTGAGGCTCGTTTGCTTAGAATTATCATTTAGCTAAAGAACGCCAGGTGGTTGAAATTTCTGGAGTGTCCACTGTGATGTCCATCACAATCATATTGCCAGTTTGGGACGTGAAACCACAGAAATTAGTATTGTCGCCACCTTATGCCACAAGTAGAACAGTGAATGTAGTCGTGGCCTGAAGAAACCATAACAGATTGGCAGTGTCCTACGCAGTAAATCATAACTCTTTTTGACAATGGTATAGATGGGATGCTAATTCATATATAGCGAGTCAGTCCTTTGTTTAGTTTCTACAATGAGACGTGTAATCTCATCCTTATGGCGAGCTACTCACTCGTGTGGTTGCTTATGTTGTTTTTTTTCCTTTGTGTGGCGCACAGTTAATACAGGGAATTGACCGAGTAGTGGGTAAACTTTTCTACTATTTTCTTTAGTGTATCATCGGTAGAAGCTATAGTTTTAAATAAATATTCATTCTATTTCTAGGGGTGCAACAGCTGCGCCAATTCGATATGATTCCCCATCATTGCGCTGATCTCTGCCAAAACCATGAAATTTCGTAGAATAGGGCCTCGCTGCACCAAAATGCTCAATCAGCCTGAAAATTATCTGACATGCGTTAATTTTAGCGAAAAATGAAGACCACATTGCCCACCTGCACTTTGCATCATCTATCAAACCAAGTAACAGACCCTAACCGAGTCACAGTGTAACAGTGGACACAGTGTAAGTTATATACTTGTTTGGTAAGGGAATCGAAATCCACCAGATAAACCATAAGATGAATTAACAGTGCCGCGCGCCCATCAGTCCGCGGACCATAGCGGATACCTATTCGCGGGTCAATGAAACATCAAGCCAAAAAAAAAGCGTGGCCGCAGTCATCGATGATTGGTGGGAAATATAATTTTCCCAGTCAGCGAACGCGGGTATGGCGTGTTAGGAACATATGTTGCGTTTTTCGCTTGTGAACAAGGTCGACGTTTTGTTGAGGTTGCGTTGTCCCGGTGATAGATATCCGTCACCAGACCAGTGGTTGCTCGCCGTTATTTTATCTGGTCAAACGCGCCTTGCAAGCAAGCCGAGAAGTTTGGCCCTGAACCTGACCCCACCATCAAGGAAGGGGAGAAAGGGGCTGTAGCGTTTTTTAAATTTCTTGGCCTTGTTCTAACCCACGCAGAATGCTGCTTATGCCACCTCCGCCACAATACACTAGTGTCTCACGGAAAAGTGCCTTGTGATTTGAAAGGGGCTGTTAGCGCTAGTCACGGAACGCAGCAAATTTTGTTAAATTATGCATGCGTGTATGCCTAACCTTGTGCGCCAGTTTTTCTTTCGCCATCTATACTCCTCGGTTTTACAAATCTCCTGAATTTCAAGGTCGCCAGCTTGGCAGAGCCACATATTAATTCACAGAGTCTGTCAAAGGATTACCCATTTCTCAGGCACGGCAAATGCTAATGACGACTTCATTGTGTGCTCAGTAAGGTAATTCAGAGTACCACTTTTATTGAAATAGCAATGCTCATGTTCACTATGCACAATTTAGATGGGTTGCGAATGTTTTGTACATATATTTCTTTAAATGTAAGCCTTCTTTTTGTACTCCTCCAAATTCGGTCTTTCATAATAAAAATTCTTTCCCATAACCTGCTCTAAATTTGGATTTTAGTGCTCTAAAAGTAGCATTTTTCCACTCCGAAAATTGCTCCAAGCTCTATTTTGGCTGTTGCACACCTGCATTTTATGGAATTAAAGAAAACGAAAAAAGAACAAGCTTTGTTATAACCTGGTCTATGCTTCCTGAAGCAACTAAAGCTGGTGCATCAGTGGTTTATTTTTCTTTGTCTCCAGCATGCAATGTTTCATTTCAAGATTATTCTCATGCATTTACCAGTGTGTCCGTTTTTTTTTCTGTACTACAGTGCCACAGCTGTGCGATAAAAAACAAGGTGCTGCCTGCTAGCTGTGTGCCGCGAAAGCAGCGGGACGGGCCTTGTTCACCTCCTGCTTACTCTAGCACCACCGCTTTTTCCATGAGAAAAGATTTTGCATGCATTTCTACGTGGCCCAGTAGGCTGTAAATAAGGTGTTTGGGAGCTCACAGGTTTGATTCTGAATAGTTATGAGCAATACCTCACATATATGAACTGTTTGCCCTAGGAGGGCCAATAATTCGTGGAGTATAGGCCTCAATACTCTCTATGAATGCTGCCTGTTTCACTCACCTGAAATGAAAAGAGTCATTGATTCCATTCATGGCGAGGCAATCGCTGGGCAGATTACAAGGGCTGACTTATCAGCCCGCCGAAAAGCTCCGCGAAAGCACGCACAATATAAATGTTAGTTGTTTTAGTGCATTAACGACGCGAGTAGTGGTCCAAAAACCGAGTTATAAAGCAAAAGTTCACGACACAAAAAAAATATATATTCCCAGCGAAGGCATCACAGAAACTTGCACACTCGGCAGCTACCGATTACTACTCAAAAAATCACTTTAAAGATCAGTTTAAAGAAAATAACAGGAACAACCTTACCACGCTACAAATGCAATCTCATGCTTCACAAACTGCGCAAGATTACTTAGCGGCCATAAATATTCGCCACACGTCTTACGAATAATACACATCCCGATACGCTTCTTGAAACTGTAGATTGCAGGGGTATATGTTGTGCTTAAATGTAGCGCCTTTTTTGGCATTCAAGCTGCTTAGTGGCACACAACAGCTTCACGGGGTCACACCACTAAAGAACTGTCTGCCACACATGCATGCACCAAAGAATCGTACTCGATCACAATGAACATGAGGCAAACTGCCCCGCACACACAATCGCACACAAAATAAGCACGAGAAATCACACGAAAAAGCACACGGACACTCATAAAGCCTCATGCGACCATCTTGAAACACGAAGTGCCATCCGCTTAGACGGGTGGAGCGTCGGAGCCCTCCCCAAGAAAGTGGCTGGAACTGTCAACTCTGCCCAGAGGCGCTCGCTCATTGACAACGACGCAACGCAGCAGGCTGCACCTTGTTTTTTATCCAGTGGCCGTGACAGTGCTGTCTTAAAACTTTTTCAGCACCTACTATTGCATATTATCTTTAGCCTGTGTTTTTCTATTTTCATTAATTTATTATTATCATTATTCCTGCTACAGTGCAGACCACTTATATAACGTAACTGCTTACAATGCGGTTTTTTTCTACTCCCGTTTACCCTCCCATAGAATCCCATTTATACGCATACCGCTTATTGTGCAGCTCCCCAAGATGAAAGACTGGTTATAATGTAGTTGCCAGAAATTGTTTGTGAGAAACGCGGTAGCGAGTAGCGCTGGGTGCGCCGCTAAGGAGCGAACGACGAGGTCTTATGGAGGAGGAGGGGACACGGAGTGAACGAACGAAGAGTGGAGGGAAGAACCGGGAAATGAAAAAAAAAAAAAGAAAAGAAAAGAGATCGCGGGACACTGCGCGGGCTCGCCGAGTAAAGGAGGAGGACGGTTGCCTTCGTGACAGATAAGCTTTTGTACCGGCGCCGACGCTGCTACAGCATACTGCGTTGCTAGCGTGGCTTCGGCAGCGTGCTGCTTAACGTGGCCTGTGCGATCCCGTCCTTATCAACTGCATATGCGCCTAACAGTTCCCTGTTGGGAAAGTCATCATCATTATCGCGCTTGCAACAAATATTGCATTTGCTCTTTCGTCTGTAAATTGAAAACCTTTTACGTTTTTTTTTTACGCGAGCTTTCACTTTTGCTGCCAGTGCGCTGTCGTACGTAAAAGCGTGGCGAGCTGTCGACCGTCGTTGCTGATCTTCCGGCCGCGAACACGAACTTAGCATCATACGAGCGGTTCTTGGTTCACTGCTAGTGCAATCTTTTCGACGCCGAATCGTCATGTTTTTAACAAGCTTTCCGCGACAACATACCAAATGGCAAGCTAGGCATTGATCGGTAGTGGTCGCGTGAATCTAAGTTGTGGTTTGGTACCGAATCTATGAAACTCTTTGCGGTGGCCGCACTTGACGAGAAGGAATACATATGGTTAAATGAAAACGAGGGCGGCACATGTAGCACTCAAATAGTGGTTTGCGGTTCGATTGCGATGTATTAAATAGGGTGCGCGCCCGTGAAATCGAATGGTTGGCGTCTTTCAACACGTCAAATTCTGGACGTGATTCAACTTAATTTCTGTGTAATGTGCATATCAATCAAAGTGCTCTGGTAGTCGGCGAATTTTCGCGATAGTGCTTTCATTTGTTAGACACCCCCCCCCCCCCACCCCTTTCGCATTCATTTCATCGGCAACGCATGTGTTTAGATGTTAAATTCTTTTAACATTCAAGAATTTAAATGTTAGCAAGCACGCATTGCATGTTTCTATTCTTGGACATGTGAAGCTGCATGCTCAACATGTTTTGCACAAGTGCGGCCCTTGAAAAGGGTTGTTTTGGTTATAGTGCGGTACCGCCTATAGTGCAAATATTCGTGACTCCCGCGACTTACATTATAAGCGGTCTATACTGTAGTTTAATTATGACTTGGAGCTAATTTGAAAAACAGTGACAGTCTTCATAATGCATTGACTTTCATCTTTTCAAAGTATTAATTTTGACAATAAAGCATGAACTATAATACCCTCAACAGAAACGTAGAAATTTAATTATTTTCAGGTGCAATGATGACCAGCATGTGCATTGAAAATGAGTCTTTTATAAACCTTTTTTTCTACCAAAAAATAAGTTATCCACAGATAATTTTTGCCTGCAAATCTGTGATCATGCGTCCAAGCCTTCCAAGTGAAACACAATTTCACATGTTTGTGAAGTGCAATATTCAGTCTTTTACTCATTTCTCGACGCTGCAGAAAAAAAAAATTTTGTAAACACCGTGATGCTCTCTTGAGCAACATAAATAGGCATATCAGCAGCTTGCACGTCCCCTTCTGATAAATGGACATCACCAGAGTTATCCTATATGCTTGCCGTCATTTTTTTATTGCATTGGTACCATGGAGTGACTTCAGAAAAGCCCTGCCACGGTAGTCTAAGGTATTCAACTGCTGACCCGCAAGTCCCGGGACTGAATCCCGGCTGTAGCGGCTGCATTTTCGATGGAGGCGAAAATGCTTTAAGCTCGTGTGCTCAGATTTGGGTTCACGTTAAAAACCCAGGTGGTTGAAATTTCCGGAGTCCTCTACTATAGCATCTCTCATAATCATATGGTGAGGACGCGCCCACATATCAATGAAATCATCAATGACTTCAGAAAGGGCCAGGACAAGCTTGAAGCCAAACAATCTCTGCGCTCACTAACCTTCAGCATTGCCGACAGCGAGTTAGAGTAACTGTATATGCTTCCTATGGGGGCAGAGTTGTGCATAGGTCGGCCAGCTTGCCTGGCTAGCAGCCATAGCAACTCGGTGAAGCTGCGCTCACTTTTGGGTAAGCCTGTTGCTGATTGATGAAGTGTGTCACAGATCGCTAGTTGAGGTGCCTGGCATGTCAATGACTGGCAAAGAAAGAAGAAACACCTGCTTTTGAAACTGTTCCACGGGAGTTAAAAAACATTTTTTAGTTTGTCTGGCGACACAACGCGCAAAGGCGAAGTGTAATGCAAAATAACTTGTGGCGCCAGCTATGGAGGATAAGCAATAATTGACAAACACAATATATGTCCTCTGATATTCAAGGAGCGCCTCGCGAAGCCTACAGCATCGACTATTTCAGTATGATGTTCGAAAATAGTGCCAAATTTATGTAAATACCTTGCTGTCAAAGCTTAAAGACATGAATGTAAAGCAAATAAAAGCACCAGTTCGTAGCTAATGGGCTAAAGACCTTACGGTCACTCAGTAGATTTCAGGTTGACGGTGACCGCTTTCGGCGGTGCAGCTGCTTTTTCTAGGCGCAGCGTGTGCATCATCTTCTCTGCAGTGCATTTTTGCTAGCGGCGTGAAAAACATGCGCAACTCTGCTCCCTAAAGGTAAGATACAGAGTAACTCTACAGGGAGTTGGCTCGGAGCACCTCTGCCAAGATAGGCTAAGATAGGTTAGGCTCATAGTAGAATCTCGATGATACGAATTCCAAGGGATCACGCAGAATATTTGTATCATCCCGAATGCGTTTTCATGAAAAACAAGTTGAAGCTGATCATGAAGATGAACAAGAACTTTATTGGGGTAAACTACTTCTTGCTGAAAAAAGTCCATGATGTTCTTTTGAACTTTCTTGCTTTCACCACCTCTCAATAAAGTGCCGCAGTTTCGTCACTCATGCTGCTAGCGCTATAAGGCGCTTTCGCACTTGGCATCAAAGGGAGTGAAACCAGCAAGACTTATTTAAAGTTCACTCGCTTTGCCACCGAAAAAACGCGCCACAAATTCAATACGAAAAAAAATCACTCCTAGAGAATTCACACTTGACAATTCAGGCAAATACGCCAGAGCGGCGACAAAAACACGTCCGCACTCATCAAAAATGTTTACAATTTTCGGCCCCTCGTATAGACCTTTTCACTGAAGGCTACCTGGGCGCCCACTGTATAAGCCCCTCTGGGCTGCTGTTAACATTCGTGACCCCCAAAACTGCAGGGCCAAAGCTGTGACGTCTGCTTTTGTACTCTCGTGCAACAGCCCAGAAAGAAGGGGATCCTCCTTTCCGTAAAAAAGGTTTATACATACCACCGCTGCTGTCTTCACCTCTTGAGAATTTATTCCTGAGTATTTAAATCCCTATCTAGTTCTAGTTATGCATGCAAAATACTGAAAAGAAGCAGTTTACACCTTTACAAATGTTGTTTTGAAACGACACAACCAGACGCAGCGGCGGCGACGGATTTAGTCAGCAGTGTAAAAAAGAGGCACATTAGGGCATGCCGACTTGCTGCGGCTGCACCTTCTTCTACTGCCGGTGTTCGCAACGATTGAAATCCAAACCAGGCTCTCAATGATCGCATCTTTTTAAAAGCTGTGAGCTTCGTGGTGCTGCGTGGGTTGTTTGCAATCGTGCAGACGCGAGCCACCGCACCCGCCTATGCCTTGGCCGTCATCTTGAATGTTTGGCTGGTTGCTTACATCACATAGTTTGAGAGCTAGTGCAGTCAGTGTAGCCTAGTCGTAGGTGACTGTGGTGGCAATATTGGTCTCTGACTGATTTTTTTGCATCGGCCTTGCGGCATGGTTTTCCGGACACTTTTCCGGCTCAAAGCGAGGGAAATTTCGATGAGTTTTGCCGCATTCACTCCCTTCGAGGCCAAGTGTGGACGGGTCTTCCTCCCACAGACAAGCCACGTTACGCCTCTTGCGTGCAGCGGTCAATCGCGCGCTCATACAATCTAGGTTTGCTGGGGAAACCGTTCGTATAACACCGAGTCGTGGCGTATTTTATATAGTGTAGTCCACCCGAAGCAACCTTAAAATTCATATCGCGAGATTCCCATCAATCATAATGGTATCATCGAGATTTTACTGTGTGTAGACAATTCAACACACAAAATGTTTGATATATGAAAGGTATAATTGTACTACAACTGTTTTATATGCACTATTTGTCATATGTGGGTTTAATATGTGGGCTTCCATTGTTATATGCACAAATTAGTTCCAAATAGTACCATTTTATGTATTAAGCCCTCCTTGTATTTCCTTCTTATACCCTACTATCTGTACTGCCCCTCCTGCTAGGGCCAAGTTGGCCTGCATAATTTTGAAATAAAATAAATAATATCAGGTATATTCGATTAAAAAAAAAGTGCGCGGGGCCACATACAAAAAGGTGCAGCTGGAGCCGACATGCGGTGCAGAAGGTGTAGCTAGGTGTCTCGGCACCCATTTCAGGGTGCAAAAGCAACGCATCAGCGGCGGCACTGCTTAGTGTCAATCGGATGTTGAGGTGCAAGCAGAGAACACCTGTTGTCTGCTGCTCGACTATGTAAGTCGTCGTGTTTATTGTGCGCCAATGGATTTGCAGCTCCTGATTTATCAGCATGGAGGAATTCTACGTTGCCATGGAAATAGCTGAATTCGACTACGAAAACGAGGAACTGAACGCAATGTTGTGTCAAATCGCTGCTCAGCCAGTGCGCAGCGATCATAACCGCACACCTAGATACTACGAAGAATTTTGACTGAGAGTTCGAGCTTCTTTTTGCCAATGCTGCTGAAATTCTCTTGATATTTATCATTAAGGAACCTTGTCTTTCTTTTGCTCCACAGCACTTTGTCAGGGTTGCCACGACGTGCAGGACTTTGATCAGCGCTCTGATAAAGCATGGCAGCTGCTGCGGTGGCCGCTTGCGTCGTCGGCATCGCATGGTCTTGCAGCGATGTAGGCATAGTACGCCTCTTTGTCGAGTCAGTGGTGGCAAGTTGGCCCGACGCGCATACAGCCCGCAATGTTCTCCCATCTAAAAAAAAGAAAAACAGGTAACAATGAAATGTCACCATCATGCATCTGAGCAGATTCTCAAGAATGCTATCATATCTGCACAATTACCTGCAGTAGCATAGAGTTCGGCGTAGCCATCTAGGAGTATCACGCCAAGATCATCCATAATCGGAAAAGTTTCTGTCGGCACATCGTCTATGTCGACCACAGGCATGTTTCAAGGTGTTAGTGCTAGCGCGCAGCAGGAATGTGCAAGGCTGCACCAAAATGCTGCACCTTCGCGCTAGAAGATGCAAGGGCTCACGGCACCATGGTGACACCTTACTAACACCCTGTACAATCGAGGACGGTGGTGCAGAGGGTGCCGCTGTATCTTTGAAAGTCGAGAAACGTGGTGCAGTGCACTGTGAAAAGGTGCAGAAGGTGCAGAGAACTGAAGGGGAATCGAATAGACCTATATGCAGGATGAACTGTATGGGGACAAACTGTGGATAGCCTTGTGTTCAAGCTTCGGTAATTTCTTGTGACATATTTTTTAGGGTAGTTGCCCTATAAAATTTGCTCATTGTAAAGGTATATTAAGAGAAGAATAGTAACGTGCATAGTGATGCTTGCAGGTGTGGGAGTTGATGACACTCGAATGGACCTGTCCCACTTTGAGGAAGGTGGTGGCCGCAGCGTGCCCTCAACACCGCTGCAGATGTCTCCACCTGGTGAGCATTTTTGCAAAGCACGCTTTAAATTAGTGCGCAAGAATTTACAAGTGAAGAATATTAATGCCCATGTCTCACGAGCACAGAAAAAGGCATCAACTTCGTAATGTCTTAAGATTTAATGCGAATTGGGTGGTGTCTCATGGTCAAATGAAACGGCATTCACCTTAATGCCATTGGTCGCCTAATGCCTTTGCCAGAACTCATTCGACTGAGAGGTGTGTACCCTCGACGCCAATGCTTGCTCAGTGCAATGCACATAAAACATTTAAAATGGCATTTATTGTGTTACAAATTTTCATGCAGAACTTTTAATAGAAGGTATGTTATTTCCCTATTGCACCATGCAGGTTCCATAACGGCTTCTTTCATTGCACAATGGCCAAAGATGCTCTGGTTGGTTGAAACATTGTAAAAGACAAGAAAAACTTAGTCTAATACCAATCTTCTTGTTACATTTTGCTATTCTTAAAAGCGGGTTTGAGTCGTTGAAATGCACGTTTATATTTTATTATTACCCAGTAACTGTACATTTCTAATGTCTGTGTTATTGACATTGTCAGATTGAATGCCATATAATTTAGATGTGTGGCAGCTTGGCTGAAAAAATCTCATTCAGGAACTTAATGACTGCCCCCGCAGGGGCGCCTGCACAAGTAGGCGTTTGGTGTGCAGCGACACCACGGACCCGAGCTAACGGGGGAGTTTCTACTCCCTCCCACGCCTAGCCGTGCGTGGCTTTGCCGTGTCCGGGGAAAATGGGATCCTGGGGGTTGAGCTGACGCTGGGTGATTGGACCATTAAGGCCCCCCGGCAGAGGCAACACACCCCTTTGGCCCCGGCTTCACGTAGACGGCACCCCTGGGCTGACCCACCCAGGGGAAATCGGCAGTCGCCTTTTCCTATCTCTCTCTCCCTACATCTTCGTCTTTCTTACTTTTTTAGCTTTCCTGTCTACTTCTCTCTTCTGCTTACTTCCAATTTTCTCGGCGGCAAGGGTTAACCCTGTGCAAATAGCCTACCTTGGTCTAGGCGCATTGAATTATGGCAGTGTTGTACGGCTGACGTCTGCAAGCTTTCAGCACCTGCAAACTTGCAGCGTCCCCTTGTTGGGCTCCGTGGTGGGTGGCCGCCAACGCTGCTGAACAAAAATAAGACCGGCATGCATGGAGCATTCCCTCAACTGTCTAATCATACCGGCCTAAAGCGGGTACGCACCGACAACATAAATTTCTTCAGCCAGCCAATAGAAACTTTTCCCCACTTCCACGTAATTCACTGTGAAAAAACCGGAAAGCAAGCCAGGACCGTATCTCCTTTCGTAGTTGCCAGGTGTCTTACTGAAACTCTCGGGGCTGGATACAAAGTAACCAAAATGGCTAGCGGAGACCTTCTTCTTGAAATTCGGGACAAAGCACAATTTGTAAAGCTAGACAGCCTCTCAAAGTTTGGTGACGTACCGATCACCGTAACACCACACAGATCTATGAACATTACTCGCGGAGTGGTATCTGATGCAGACTTACTTGACCTGACCGAAACTGAACTTTTGGAAGGGTGGAAGAGCCAAAATGTCAATAATGTACAGAGAATTATCATCAGAAGAGATAATAAGGAAATACCAACGAAACACTTCATACTCACGTTTGCATCCAGTAAACTACCAGATTCCATTCAAACAGGGTACACAAAGACATCTATCAGGCCGTATATACCAAACCCTGGTCGTTGCTTCCAATGCCAGAGGTATGGCCATGGCTCTAAAACCTGTCGTGGTCGCCAAACTTGTGCACAATGTGGAGTCCTAGGCCACGTGTCTGAGAACTGCAAACAACCGCCACACTGTGTAAACTGCGAAGGAAACCATGCCGCATACTCACGCTCCTGCACATACAGGAAAAAAGAAAAAGAAATAATTACATTAAAGGTGAAGGAAAACATATCATTTAAGGAAGCACGGCGAAGAGTCGCTCCATTCTATGGACCTACATACGCTGATGCGGCGCGTCAGGGGGCACCGCCGCACCAGCCCTCGCCACTCCTTCGGCCCACGCATACCGAGCCGGTGGTTGTGGCACCTGCCGCCAAGGCGGCTGTAGCCCAGGCTACACCGCCTACTCCCAAACAGAGACCAAAGACTCCAGAGTCTTCGGGTCTCAAGGCCTCCCCTCACCAGGCGAGGCCCGAAATCCGAACTAACAGCCCGCACGTGCGGGCATCCAGTGCCTCCGAGGAGGCAATGGATACGTCGGCACCCTTGGTGCCGAAAGAGCGGCGTGGCTCCTTGGAGCGCGCCAAGAAAACAAAAAAGCAAATAACAGAGCCTAGTGATGGCCCTGTTAAGTGAACTCAAACTCCCCGGCTATACAGCCACTCGCATTTCGTACACACAGCATTATTTTACATTCACCATGAACACTCAAATTATACAATGGAACGTCAGGGGCCTTCTCAGAAACCTTGACGACATCCAAGAACTCTTACAGGAACACTCACCAAAAGTGCTGTGTGTACAAGAAACACACCTTAATTCAAAACACACAAATTTTCTTCGTAAATACGTTATTTTTCGAAAGGACCGTGATGATGCAATGACATCATCCGGAGGTGTTGCCATCATAGTGAAACAAGGAACTGCATGCACACACTTACAACTACAAACATCTCTTGAGGCAGTGGCTGTTCGAACGGTTCTTTTTGATAAACTGATCACAATCTGCACTATTTACATTCCTCCTAGCTATCAGCTGCAAAAACGTGATTTACACTCTTTAATTGATCAACTTCCGGAACCTTATGTTCTCCTTGGAGACTTTAATGCGCATAGCAGGCTATGGGGTGATTCTCGGTATGACGCGCGAGGTCGACTGATTGAACAGTTCCTTCTCTCGTCGAGCGCGTGTCTCCTAAATCGAAAAAAACCAACCTATTATAATCTCGCTAATAACACCTACTCCTCCATAGACCTAAGCATAGTATCTGCATCTCTTGTGCCTCTACTCCAGTGGAAAGTCGTCAGTAATCTGTACGGGAGTGACCACTTCCCCGTAGTTTTGAGCACAACTACAGTAACTGAGTGTCCACCACGTGTTCCCAAGTGGTTCATAAACAGAGCCGACTGGAAACAGTTTTATACCATCGCTCGTCTAGGTTGGAATGACATATGTACTTTGAACATTGATGTTGCTGTCAACTACTTCACAGCGTTTTTGATTGATGCTGCAATAAAATGCATCCCACAAACAAATGGACACCCTAGAAAACAACGTGTGCCATGGTGGAACTCTGAATGCCGAAACGCGCGCAAACAGCAAAACAGAGCTTGGAGGCTGCTTCAAAAGAATAAAGTCTCAAGGCAGGAGAACGCGTCGGCAGGCCAGAAGAGAAAGCTGGCAGAAGTTTTTGTCAGGGATCAATTCATACACACAGGAGGCTAAAGTCTGGAACATGGTCGGTAGGATAGCAGAAAAACAAGTACACACACTTCCACTCGTAAACACTCAGGGTGATATCTTGGAAGATCAGGCAAACTTCCTCGGTGCACACTTTGAACAGATATCCAGCTCGTCCCACTATACCGACACTTTCCAAAAATACAGAACAAGAATAGAAAAGCAGAAACTCGAACACAAATCCACTAGATACGAGGCGTATAACCAAGCTTTCAGTCTAGCTGAGCTCCGAACATCTCTAAACTCCTGCAGTACTTCTGCCCCAGGTTCTGACCGTGTGGTGTATGAAATGTTAAAAAACCTACCAGCCGAAACACGAAAAACCTTACTTTGTTTATACAATGCTATCTGGTTTTCTGGCACTATCCCTACCTCCTGGAAAGAGGCTATTATTATTCCCATTTTGAAAGAGGGCAAGGACCCTTCTTTAGCTTCAAGCTATAGGCCTATTGCACTTACAAGCTGCTTGTGCAAAGTCTTCGAAAAAATGATAAACTGTTGACTTGTACATATCCTTGAAACAAACAATTTGCTCGACCCATTTCAGTGCGGGTTTCGAGAAAGTAGATCCACCACAGACCACCTTGTTCGTATCGAGGCACAGATCAGAGACGCCTTTGTCCATAAACAATATTTTCTCTCTGTGTTCCTCGATTTCGAAAAGGCTTATGATACAACATGGCGTTTTGGAATTCTAAGAGACCTGTCCCACCTTGGCGTCGGCGGAATAATGTTTCACAGAAGCGTACGCATTTGGGCTGGTTGGTTCATGTTCACAGAAGTTAAAAAACAGCGCTAAAAAGACGGGACAACGCTCAAGGAAAAGGTAGAATCCTTTGTGAAGTGGACTGTGGGAAAACAAGCAAGCTTGAAATCGCAAGGAAGCATGGAATCCCAAAAAGCACTCTTTCAACATATATCAAGAATAAGAGAGCGATTGAGGAGGCCTACGCAACTGATGCGTTCACCGGCAGTCGCAAGAGGCTTCGCTCAGCGAAGCACCCCGAATTGGAGCGCGCAGTGCTCACGTGGATCAAGGAAACGAGGAGCCAAACATCCCACTGAGCGGCCCTATCGTTATGGCGAAAGCAGCAAACTTCGCGCTTCGCCTCAACATAGATGATTTTAAAGCTTCGGAGGCTGGCTTCATCGTTTCCGAGAGAGACACGAGATTGTGTTCCGCACTGTGTCTGGTGAAGGCAAAGAAGTCAACAGCGAGACATGCGCAAAGTGGCAAAGCGGTGCTTTGCAAGAACTGCTTCAAGAGTACTCGCCCCGCGATATATTTAATGCCGATGAAACGGCATTATTTTATAAGCTGCTGCCAAGTAAAACGTTGACGTACAAAGGCGACACCTGTGCTGGCGGGAAGAGAAGCAAAGAGCGCGTTACTGTCTTGGTCGCAGCAAACATGGATGGTACAGAAAAACTACCGCTGCTGATCATAGGAAGGCCCTGAAGCCTCGTTGCTTCAAGAACATCCGCACACTACCGGCAGAGTATACAGCCAACAGCAAGGCATGGATGACGCCGGGAAATATTCAAAAC